ATGCTACAACATGCCTAGAACTCAAGGTTCTCTCGAATTGTCAGATTTTGTTAGAGGAAGGATAGTTGGTCAAGCACATGGTGGAATAAGTCAGCAGCAAATTTCACAGAATTTGGGAATCCCGCTTTCGACAGTCAACAGAATCATCGTGCAGTCGTTCTGGTCCATCGGAGAGGACAAAAGGGGCTGTCAAGAGGAACATCGAAATGGATCCAAGATTAACAACTGCAGAAGTGGCCAAAGTTGATGGGATGAGCCCGAAATCTGTTCAACGAATTCTCCACAGATTGGGTTATCATTGCAGAGCAGCTAGACGGAAGCCCTTATTCAGACCTGCCAACATAATTAGATGAAAGAAGTGGGCATGTGATATGATGACCAAGCCTCTGAACTTTTGGAAGACCATATTGTTCTCAGACAAATCAAGATTCGCTCAATTTTTGGAGAGTGGAAGGATGTTGGTCTGGAGAATGCCTCACCAAGAGTTTTGGCTCAACAGATTGCAGCCAACTGTGAAGCATTGTGGTTTCAACGTGATGGTTTGGGGAGCTGTTTGGGTTGGTGGGAGATCGAGCTTAGTGGAGTGCATTGGCAACATAAATTTTGCGAAATATTGGAGGAAGGACTCTTGCCACTTTATTCCTCGGGTTTCGTGAACAAGAACACAATGTTGTTCCAGGAAGATGGAGCACTGTGTCACACTGCAAGAAACACCCGAAAGTGGTATCCAGAAGTTGCCCTGGCCTGACTTGAACCCCATCGAAAACCTCTGGGCCATACTCGACCGGCAAGTCAAGAAACAACCAAAAAAAACCAACTTCGAAGAGCGATCTACTCCAAGTTTTGAAGCAAGAGTGCGTCAAAGGATCAACGAACTCCACGAAGCGAAAGGAAGATCTACTAGATATTAATTAAAGTATAAATATATCAATTCATGTGAACATGACTGAAAATTTTCATTTTTTTTTTTAAAAGGTGGTGTCTATTTACTTGTGACCACGCTGTGTATAATGGCAGGGTTTGGCTACTTATTACATAGAAGATACAGTTGGTATTTAGACTCTTATCAAAGTCATTAGCTTTTTAAAATCAGTCTTAAAATATGACTAAACTCACCAAAGCTGAGAGCTCTTTCAGATAAAACATTTTCCTAATAATAATGGGATAGGTCTACTGAATAACTGGAGATTTGTCAAGATCTTTGTCACAAAATAGTCCTGAGTTCTCTGAATAACGGAGTTTGTGAGAAGGAAATAAAGAAAGTCAATACGATGTAGAACACAAATGAACAATATCATTCCCACAAACACTGTATATCAGGCTGACTTGGAAATATCATCTACCATAATATCTAAATATAAACATTACTTACTTCAAAGGTAACATCAGACATGCTCAGAGTGACAAGCAATACCCTACTGACTTGTCGTATTCATTCACACTTAGGGGAGGTTGTACGCTCATGATATCATCTGACCTACCATTGGAAGACTGCTGTTATCATGCTTGTTATCATGTAGCATTACAGCCATACACCCATGGGTAGACCAGGTGTTACCTCAAGAGAATAACATGTTATGTGAAAATTGAACAGACTCTGAGTGACTGAAAATTCTGAATATTACTAAATTAAAATTAAGGAGGTAGAAAACGTGTGGTATTCTTAAATACTACAATTTTTTTACCCCCTTTACTTTAATCTTGACCTAAGGCCAATAATTAATTTTAACAATAAAATCAATACATTTGCACTGGTTAAGGAGTACAGTAACTTTCTCTTATCTTTGTAAACACTTGCATACAACACAGATAATAGAACTTTTTAATAAAGATGCATTACACAAATAATAATAAAAACTTTAACATAGAAAACAATTTCAATACATTACCTCTTCGCAATACAAAGCAAACCCTTTAAGAAATAATTATATCAAATAAATATAAAAATGCAAATACAAAATAAAACTCATTAATAATGATATGACTGGCCATCTACAGTGTATTAAAAAAATATTTAGAATGATACAGTCTCAATTATACACCAAATTTCCAGGAAAATGCAAGAATAAACCCTTTAATATTGATTACACAGTAAAATACTTTTTAATACAGATTATCACTCAAATCCTTTTCTGATGAAATAAAGAATAAGAAATAATAAAAGAAACTTAACAGATATCTTACATATAATGCAAAAATATGAGTGCAAAATAAAACATTTCAAGCAATAATAATAAAAATACACAACTGCATAACACACACACAGAAATATATAGGAAAACTATATTTTCATGTTAAGTAAAATCACCATCATGATACACAAACAGCAATAACAATAAACCCAAATTAGTTAAGACATAAAAAATGAAGAAACTAAATAGAACCAAAGAAAAATGCAAAGACACTGATATGAACAGCCGTTAGATTAAGAATCAAAAATTAAATATACACAAAATGTAACCAATAACAGATGCAAAGTCTAACTCCTCTTACTTCAACTCAATCAGCAGATCCTCCAATTCAGAAGTTGTCCTTCAATCAACTACAGTAGTCACCCTGATGGTAATCTTCACAGCTGGTCTTCCCTGTTATACAGGACCCAGCCCTTGGTACATCATGTGGCCATCTGTTAACAATTCTTTTTGAGGACAGGGATCTATTGTAGTGTAGGATATTTGATGATAACTGGCTAGAGTGGTTGAGAGTTGTAGCATCGGCTGCCCCTGCATCATTTCAAGAGACTACTTACATAGCACTGGCTCATCCATCTCTAGCAAAGAGGCCCCTTATTTCTTCTCTGGAATGGTCCTTGAGGCTCAGCTGTTGAGGTGCCCTCATTGTTTGATGATGATGGTTGTAGTGCAATTGGCAATGAGGCATTCACAGCCAGAAATAGTAATGGAGGCTATTGGAGTTTCCAGCACCATTGTTGATATTATTAGCTAAGCATTGGCAGATATCTTGGACTTCC